TCTGGTTTTTGTAATTCACAGATAAATAAAACACAAGGTATATCCAAAATGAGGTCGTTATAGACTACACACTAATATTGAGCTGATGAAAAACTCGACTGTCTCATCGTCTGAAAATGTTTCTTTCTCATCAATGTTTTTATTCACATGTCTCCCATTATACTTTTTCGTTAATCGCTTTTAATTACGTGCTATAACTGATGATGATGTTTGGTCATCTAATGAATGAACAAATGAACTTTCTATGATAGTTTAAAGGTTCTGATAGACTGATGAATGGAGAATCATTTGAGACATTCTACAAAGTTGGCGACTTCATGATAAAATTAGGGTATTAGTGTTAAATTTATGTGAAATCGAAAAACAAAACCTAACGACGATATCGAGACAATTTCGAAGAATCATCTTATCAAGGAAAGAAGCTTTTTAAGAAAATGTTTTTTACTTTGACAGTATATTGGCTACAAATAGAGAAAATCGAGCTAGGCTTGGAATTGAAAAAAGCTGGGCCTTGATAATATTCAACTACTACGAGACATATTTCAATCTTTAGACTTAGCAGAGTTGAGACCGGTAACATAGTAACTCAATAACAATTGAAAATGAATATTGTTAAGTGCAGTACATGTATAATCGAAAAACGCACGCACTTGTTTATCTAACTTTACGTTATGGTTTTAAACTCAGAGAGCATTTTCAAGATCGAATATATGCTTGGGAATTAGATTATAGTAGAGGTTAAAAGGAATAAAGTCATCTTCATTATAAATATGTTATCGACATAGAATGAAAATGTGCATATTTTTTATCTAAAGTGAAAAATGAAAGTGAATATTTAAATAAACTCGAGTCAAGTCTCATTATAAATGATTGATTGATTTTATCAAATAGAAGAACGTTTGATGTTCTTATAAATAAATAAGTAACACAGACCAACGTATCCAACATGACCTTTTCTTTAAATTACAGCAATTCCCACCCTTCTCTTCTTTTTCCATTTTTATTTTTAAAATTTTTTCGATTTTCTCAATTTTTCACTCTCTGTTACCATCAATCATAGATGACGTGAATAAATATGAAATAATGACAAAATCAGTTGAGAACATCTGCTCTTATATAAATTTGCAATGTGTTAGGATAATTAGAAAATTAAAATTTTAAAAACAACGAATGTTAGACAATCTCATCTGTTATACGTAATGTTACATAAAACCGTTATTTACTTGCTCGTAAAGTCTGATGGAGTGGAGTGGTAACAAAAAAATGATGTGTAATATTATGCAGGGAAGTTAAAAGTGTGCTCAGGTAATTTTTTTCTATAGATGAAGGTACTATTCAATTTGAATGAACTAGCCTTTAAAACGCTATCTATTCGTTTGCATGATTAAAATGCTAGAAAAAAAAATTATTGTTAATTTATGAATAGAAATCTGTTCCTTTGTTCCACTTAAAACTATTGGATGCTAAACTATTCTTAAGGAATACTTTTTGATTTCTCGAATGACTGATCTAGTTTCAATAAGTTTTAAGATCAGAAACTTTTCTAGTGATATTTCGTGTGAAATTATTAATTTTTTTCATACAGCTTTATTTACTATTCTGCACGAACAGTTAAAGATTGGTTTTTTACGTAAGAACGAGAGAGAGGAAGTGAGAGAGAACAACTGATTGGTCAATGATTATCGCACAGAAATAGTGTTGGAGAGAAAAATTTTGATAAGAAGTCAATTTGATTCTAATATTTAAAGAGTAGGGTAGGTATACTCTATAATAGATTATTAGAAAAGCCATACGTTTATATACATATCTCATTTTAATTTGATTTCTTGCAAATTTGATTCGTATGTAATAGTAAAATTCTTTTCAAACGTGCAATGAACCCAAATTGAGATGCGGCATACATGTGAATATGGCTCAAAGTGTCACATTAAATCAAACTAATTTCATACTAATATATCTTCTTAAGTCTTCTCGCTTCATATTTGATCGTAGAAAAAAGATCAGCTCTTCCACATTTGAGATTACTTTTTTCCGATCTATTTTGGCAATTATTTCCACAAAAAATGTATTTTATAAAAACTTTGTCGTATCTCTATTACGAGTTAATTGATCAACATCCAATCCTTTAACGGAATGATAGCTCATTCGGTTCAAACTGCATGCTATATATAATCTCATTAATAACCTTGAACGTTATTAGTCAAAGTTGAGTCCCTTACTTTTTCCGATAACTAGTCTCACTGGTTATAGCACTTCCCAATGATATTTCTGCTTGATTTCATACTTTTGCACGATTTTACAGTAATCGTAATAATATAATATTCTATTTCCGTCGATTCGTTCGTCGCTTTTCCACAATAATTTATCACTAATTCTACTTTCTTGCTTGTGTCGGCCACTTGTTCTTAATAACGCTTGATCGGCACTCCCATAGTTCAATTGTCAACATCTGCAGTTATTTTTTCTATATACGTTTTTTTTTAAATATAATCAGTTTCGAAAAATGTGTATATTTTCACGAACGTTGCCGTTTGCCTAACACTTGATCGTGTGTACAATACATAGGCTATACACCGTGTATTACACTTAAAAGTATAACACACATTGGTTTACAACCTAACACTGTAGTGTATGAGTTAGATTCTATGAGTAGTTAATTGATCCCCATTTATTACATTCCATTAATTATTCCATAATTAGTCTCGAAAGATGAGTATATTTTCAAAGACGAGATGATACTAAGCTATTTAATCGATAAGATCTACGATATAATATCTTCACATTTATCACTACTATCTTCATATATGCTCAGAGTTTCTCTAACTACCGTTTTACTTAGTCGATTTTTAATCTTTCGTAGACAAGTTTATTTGCAGTATTTTATCAAATGGTAAAAAAATGAATACTGAAAATCAATAGATACTATTTAGACAACGTAAAATTCTCTTTTAAAAACTATTAGGAAACAATTCACGCAGATCAGAATGAAGTAGTATTAGCAAACTTTGTGTACTACATTATGACCTTCCTTACTGGCATTTATTAGCTAACTCATTTTCGAACAAGGATTTTCTGCCGTTCACTTGTATGTGTGTGTTTTATGCAATTAGCGAGATGACTAGAGATCATATAACCTGTGTATGATCGAATCTTATATCTAATTTAGATGTATTGTTTAACCTACAGAAAGAAAATATGAGCGAGAGAAAAAGAAAGAAAAAATATTTACTTAATCGTGACCTTGTATCGGTTCACGAACACCATAATATTTTTCTGTACAATACTATCTATACTGCACTATTTATCCTTCCGTCATTCTCTCTTTCGCTCTTTACCTGATGAACAAAATTGTCTCATGTTCAAGGTACAAAAAAAAACCTTCGCAGTGATCGATGGTCAAGAAACGAAAAGAAAAAAAAAAATAACTTAGCTTAGATAATAAAGTTTGTTATAACGAATACGCGAATACAATATAAGCATGTATTTTCTTTTTCTTTTTTCTCTCTTCTTCTCGTAACCCTTAAATGACCGATGACCAACCAGTTCGGTTACTTACTATTAAGTTGTTATTTATGCAAGTAACAGACAGAAAAGTTTATATGAATGAATAGTATGCACACCAAGGTCAAATAACTACATAACAACCTGTTTTGTCTTGGATATTCTTTACTAGAAAAAGTTTTTATATTTTAAAATTTTTGTTATCAAGATCATTATGTTATGCTTGTCGAATCGTTTATATATGTAAGATCAATATTTTAAGAGAAAATGCCGATTGAATGTGAAAACACTGTTCAGGTAATGTGATGTAATCAAACTAAGTTTATTTGCGATTAGATCATATCTTCTAACTCTTGTGAAGGAATGTTCAATCCAATTGATCAAAACCGAAAGTGAGATAGGGTACTATATGAGCAAATAGTTGAATTTTTTATTTTTGTTGATCAAACGCGCGATATTGATCGTCACTTGATAATATCAATCAGTTGTTTGATTAAAGAGAAAGAGAAGGAGAGAGAGAGAGGAAAACTCAATTTGAATAAGTTAGATAATTTTCACACCGGGGGTACAAAAAATATAGAGAGAGAGACGAAAAGAAATGCACAGTTATTTTTCAAAAAGAGTTGAGATGTGACATTCTATGATGTAGAGTAAGAATAATTCACAGGATGAAAGTAAGTAAATGACTGTGCATGAGTTTCAGATGTGATATTTTGTTACATCTATACCTGCATTAAATACATATAGTCAGATCATAAGACATCGTATCACATAAACAACAACGCTGTCTCTCGCGCTTTCTCAATGTTACTCAATTAGGCTTCACATTAACCGAACGAAATATGTGAGAACAGGTTTCAGTTCTAGTAGAGCTACTCGGCTAAACTGGAATGGTATCAGACTATTTAAGACTTCTTTTTCTGCCATTTGTGTGTCAATATAATTGTGACGCTTAATTATCATTTTTTTTTGTCCTTTTGACAATAATGGCAGCAATAGAATTGCCATAAGTATGAGATACCGTTCTTGGATAACGATCAGTGCACATATAATTTTTCCCTTGCCATTATTTTTTATATCTGAATATGTTATTCTCAAAAAATACGAATAGAAACCTTGTATATATATGAAATTTATGTACAGATATTCATTTTCTACTTTACCTTTATGAAATGTGATGAGACATTTCATATTGCCCTTATTAACGATAGAATACAGAGTTCAAGAAAAATCAATCTCTATACGTAATACTTGTTTTTGAAACATAGCTTGAATGAAATTATTATTGATAGCTTGAAAAAATATTATTTGACAAATATTGCATTCATTTAAGTAACACAGTTGTGTATACGGATGATATACGAAATTCTTCTACATTATGTACAGTCTAGTCTATAGAGGCAAGGCAAGTTCATCTTTTTTTATGAGTTCTTTGCATGTTAAATAACTTATAGTTGTCCTGTTGATATTGTACATATAGAATTGAGTTTATTTTATTTTCTTCTAAAGATTCTATCAAATGGTACCAGTGTTCTCAATGACAATATTAAAGTACCATCACGAAAACTAGATACGCTTCTTGGTCAACGGCGGCTTCAGTTATTAGCTGACGCTGTTGAGAAGGTAGAGTATGAAGATCAGAAGCAACAGCATTTATCCTCAACCTCGCCATCGTCAACAACATCAAATGATGAAAACTATCCACAAGCAACAGAGTCAATAGAATCACTCACCGATTCTTCGTTGATGTTATCACTTCAACAAACACAATATGATATTCTATTAAAATACATAACCGAAACTTTACAACCAAAAGAACATCAACAACTTGATCTTCGCTCGATAATTCAAAAGCATTCAGCCAACTTTAGTACCCCAGCAGATGAATGTCCACTTGATTTTTCGAAAACAAAACAAGATGAATCGCATTGTTCAACGGAATCAGCCACAGATGAAACCTTATCCCTACCATCATCAGTAAGCAGTATTGATTCACCAATAAAAAACAGCTCATCGTCCACGCATGCATTTATGATTACAAATAAAAATGGAAAAACAACACGACCTTTTAAAGCATGTAAGTTTTGGGTTGTAATTTAGCAATGCTTCTGTCCCACATTAGGAGCTAAACTGTTCAGTATCTTGCAAAATATACTTTTTAGCTTGTTTTCATAAAATTTAAGAGTTTTTTTATCTAACCAGCTTCTCTGTTTTAGATCCAAAAGATCCTCTATCATTACCGATCGGGTTTTACTCACCACTGGCTCAACGGGGTGCAAATACCACATCGGAAAACCTTCTGAATGTTCTTGCATCGTCAGACGATGATTTTAGCAGACGATTTCGTAAACGTATTCAACATGCACAAGAGAGAATGGTACAACGTCTAACATCTAAACTCGATTCGCCAATAAAACAAGAAGAGTTAAATTTGATTTCAAATCTTGTCACAGCATCACCTGGCATGCAAATTATACAACCACCGAAAAAACGTCATAGATCAGAATTATCGGAGACTGTTACACAAGGACCAATACAACGACAAAGTTCTCATATAACTGTTGATATGTGTGGTGATATGTTAAAAGATGATGCTTATAGAGAAAGAAGGCGAAAAAACAACGAAGCAGCTAAACGAAGTCGAGATGTGAGAAGGTATGGGAGTTTTCATAGTGCCAAGCAAGATACTAATTTATTTGTGTTGATTCTTTTATAGAGCGAAAGAAGATGAAATTGCAATAAGGTAAATAAATTTCTATGTTCTAAGCTTGAATGTTCTAATTAAAATAAGTTAAATTTAGCAATTATTTCCGAAATAGTGTTGATATTTTTTTCTAAAAGAGCTCAGAAAAACGAGATATCAAATATAAAGAGTATATTTAATTTTTCTGCTTCTTTGCATACGAAAAAAAGCATTTTGAATAACTGATAAGATGAATTATTGTTTATATAAAGAAAACAATCAACTTCTCGTGTTCGATCAGTTGTGTCTACTCATTAACTAATTTTTTTTATAGAGCAGCATGGCTTGAACAAGAAAATTTAAAATTACGTGTTGAAAATGCTCAGTTGAAAGAAGAAAACTGCCAGTTAAGATGTCAGATATATAATACAACTAATGGTAACTCTTAAACTTGTTTTTTATGTACGCTTTCGATACTACTTTAGTCAAAAATGATGATAATATATTTATTGTTCAGATATTTTTTCATTTCGACACACCTATCTCATAAATTGTATACTTCGACAAAAATGTGACAAGTTTATTGTTTGGTTTTTAAAGGCTTTTATGTTATTAATTTTTTAGCGGTTTCGACATTGTAACTGTCTTTTTACTGCTTTCTCCGAGTGTACTAGTTAAGAACGTTTTCCTACGGTAAAAATTCCTCTGTGCTTCTTTTTCTAAATTTAGAAAGTGAAATTAGTTAACTCAGTGTTCCATCTTTATACTGCGTTTTAAAAAAAAATCTCACAATTTTCCGTTTTTTTTGAATTTCTTTCTTTTGTTATTTGTTTTTTTGTAGTATGTTTTGCTCTTTTCTTCATATTTGACCGTGAATTCAATTCAAAAGTGCCATAATGACTTATTCGAAAATTTTCGGCTATGATCTTGTAAAAAAATGAATTTTTTTCGTGTATTTTTTTCTCAATGTGCGCGTGTGTATATGTATGTATATAACATGTGTAGATAGCGCATAACAAACTAGGTCAGATATTGTTGATTTATGGAATATAAATAAGTACAAAATTACGTACTCTAAAGAATATATGACTTCAATAAACAGATCAAAATTATCTGCTCGAAACAAAGAAATATTGACATGCAAAGCTATTAGTAAAGAATAGTCGATTGTTGAAATTTAAGTATGATGTGCACGTGGAAACATCCAAGATCCATCGTCTATATATATGATAAAAAGTGCTAACTTAGCACTGATCTGCGATGTAAAAAATAGAAAAAATATTCGTATATTCAAACATTTCTAGACTGAGAGACAAAAAACAAAAAAAGCTTGTTGGAATTAACTAGAGAGTGGATTTTGATATAGCGTATTGCAAAATCGATTACCCAGGTGATTGAATCGTACTACCCGATCGGACAAGATCGTATACGAATCGTACGAAATCATATACGATTATGTATGATTTACATACAAATCGCGGTATCTGGTTTGGTATAAGCTTTATTCTCAGAATACAAGCGAAAAAATATTCCATTAGTATTCTAAACTAGAACTATCGAAAAACACAAAATCAATTTTGTACAAATAAAAATTGGAACATGTGTATCTGATTTATCATCTGGTTTGTACTATACGATTTCATACGAAGTTGTATGATTTTGTACGATCGTATTATACGATCCAGAGGATAAATCAGATACCACAATTCATATATGATTTTCATACCATTTCGTACGATTTTGTTCTGATTTAGATACGATCGTATACGATTTGCTTGACCTGGGTATGCATTATATCTGTCATTCTACTTTTAAGAATTGTTTATTATTAACTAATCATATATATAACTGACGTTCGCGATGTGAACAAAGATCGGACGGTACATATTTCGAAAATTTTCGTTGATTTTCAGTTTTCGGTGCTGATTCCAAATATACTATTTTAATTGCATAACAGGTGAGTTCTGATGAGGAAATTAAAACCGACTTTTTCTTAACCAGTGAGTATTATTTGGGACATTAACTAGCTGTTAAAATATGCGTCAATGTGATGCTATATAATGGTCACTATAATGAAATCAACTGTCGTTACAGTTTTATCAAAATCTGAAAACTGATATCATCATATCTACGGTCTGCATAATCCTAGGCCTATATCCCATGCTAGAAGTCTGTTAATCCGTCTTGTTTCTATTTCTATGTCTATATCTGCTTTTATAACAAAAAATATATTTTGAAGGAAACATCAAAGCTGGTTGATGTTCAAATCGGCCATCTGTTATTGCCTCACACACATATATTCAATTGCAATCGAGCTGAATCATTTCCGGATAATATTCTTAATTATCCATATTTCGCAATATGTTTGAATATTTTCGCTTGTTCGTTCATCAATATACAGTATTCATTTCTATGTGCATGTATCCAAACAACGCTTTACTTCCTTCAATACTTTCATTTCAAAATAACATTATAGAACGTCGTACGTATGTGTTTATGTGTGCACGTTATGTTACAAGAAAAGATTACATAAAGAAGTTGTCTAAGAATTGTGATTGATCAAAAATCATCTATGAGCTTTAAACAAGATAAAGTGAATGAATAATCGTTCAAATTAATTAACATATTTAATAAAATATCTTAAGAGTAGAAGTACCTTAATAAAAGGTGGTTCCATCCATAGTTGTAAGAAACTATTTCGGTTTATGAATTTTCTAACAAGTTGAACAAGTTAGTGCATGTTTATTAGATAATGTAGTTTTGGATAATATTAGCCGAAAAAGACCGTTTAAAAACGTAATGGAAGTATTGAGTAGCACAATTTATCTCTTTATTAAGTCAGTTGAGGACATTTCTAGACAAACTTTCTAATGGCAAACGCTTGTAAATGAACTGAGGACTTTAAGATATTTAAGTTTACTACAAAATTATGTTATAAGATACTGTTAAAGGTGCCGATTCGCTAAAGAACCATCTAAAATAACGGTAGCTTATATAATATCAATTAATCTTCCTCATTTCTCAACAATGAGACATAATCGCTTTTTCTTTATTAATTATTCACTTAAAAATGGACCTGACATCCAATGTACAGCTTGTGTCCAACATACAGTTCAGTCAATATGAACACGTTTTGTAAACAGATGTTAGACGACTAGATACGCCTACTACAAGATAAAATTTGACGGCTTTATAATACGGCATCATTCATCCAACATTTGAGTAACACAATCAGAGATGGGCGAGCACAAACTTTTTCGTGTACGAGTACGAGTATTTCGTGGCAGATACGAGTACACGAAAATTTTACTCGAGTACAAGTTTTTATAAAGAGAAAAAATGTATGAAGTATATATGAAGTAAAAGTTAATTTTGTTTTTTCTCCTGTAAGGACAAATAGTTCGTTTACTCCGTCCGACAGTCTCGTTATTTTCATATTGATTACATCATACATTTTTCTTATAGAATTACACTACAATTCTACAAAAGAACCTACTGTTTTCTCGGCAATCCCTAGTGGATTATAAAGGCTTTTGATCGAGTACTTTTTCGAGTATTCCTTAAAAAAAGTTGAGTACGACTACGAGGATCCAAAATCTTCCTGCTTCGGTTATCTAATCTTTACAAAAAACTTGCATTTGATATTCAGAAGATGTCATCGCAAATTCAGTTTTCTTATTTGTGCATCAATCAAACCGCACAAGCCGAAAAACGTAAGTTTGAACTAAATCATCAAAAAGGATAACAAGCTCGAGTAAAAAGCTTCTTGTAAGCAAAAGTCTGGCTTTATAAATTATTTTCAGTAATATTTTGATCAGAAAGCGTAAAAACTGATGAAATTTAAACAACTTGTTCGTGGCTTGCACTAAGATCCTCAAATCACTTTTGTTTACGTTTTTCTGGCATAGTATGGCGAATATCTTTATACTTAAAATAATTTCAAACCATTACTCATTCTTGAACACTTGGTTGTTTAAATAAATAGGCCATTAATCGTATTTCTGATGTTGTATAACTACCACACACAAAAGAATATGAAAACAAACTTTTTCACCTAAGATTGTGAACGAAGTTTGCTGGCAATGTCTTGGATCTTGAAGCATGACTCGATTTACATAAGATGTTCACGTTTATGCAATAAAAATATTTACAAGATTAGCTTAGTATTCAAAAAACTAGTAAACCTGTCTCCTATATAAAAAGTACTTAAGTCGAAACGATTTGTAATCAAGAACAAGAGAAGATTCAGAATATATAAATGAATTATTTGCTGAAGTATCGCAAGTTCATCATCGTTCAAGAATTTATTGTCGAGCGATTAAAGGATATCAAATCAAGTTTTGTTTGTAACCCCGTCATATAGATCTGAAATATCATCATCAAAATATGGACCATTCATATAATTGGGTATATTACTGATTTGAAAACTATTCACAGATACTTGATAACCAATTCCAGTATCGGGGTTGTAATCCTGCAACCATGGTCCTCCTGAACATCCTCCACCCATGAGACATGGTATTGTTTGTCCAATATATCCATTCCCCCAAACTGAATCGAGAGCTTGTCCTGAGCAATATTGTAAAGTTTCGCCATTTGCCAAATTTTTTGGATAACCGAACGAATAAATTATAGTATCACGTGGCAGATTAAACGCAACATTTTGAGATCCAACCACATCTTGAATATGTTGACCATTCACGGTTGACAGCAGCACCATTCCTACATCATCATTATAATCTTTATTTTCTGAATATGAAGCTAATATTGTTTGGTATCGAGCAGGCCATATTCCGAATGGTGCATTACCGTTAGTATATTGAGGAACAAATACCCAATTTTTATCCGTACGAAATCCAGTTGTGTCATCATAGACACAATGAGCCGCAGTAATGATCAAATCAGCATTATCAGATTTAGTAACACTACCTGAACATTCTCCATACCAACCGTTTCCTTCACTCCAGAATACTTTTCCCGTTGTATAGGCCATAAGACCCCTTTTATTCAGTTTTTCCATGAAAGGTCTCGACCTTTTTGGTGCCCCTCCATGAATACGACGAGGTGGACTTTTACGCTTTCTTATTATAACAGGACGATTTCTGTCTGTTAGACTTTTGTTACTAAGATGCGGATATAACTCCCAAGCCGATTTAGCTGCTTTCATTTTGTCTGGTGTCCAAAACTTTATAATTGACTTGATCTTTTCATGATGACTTACACTTTTTGGATCATTAAGCGTAGCGCTCAATATCTTTGGATGACGTCTACGAGTACCATGATGTTTAGTACAATTGATGAATCCGGAAAAACAGATTAAAATGACCAGAAGTACTATGAATAATTGACCCATTTTTTCTTGTGGTAAAATGTTTGATCAAAGTTTGAGAAGAATATCACTTACTAGCGTGAAGTTTAAAAAAATTAAAAATGTTTTAAGTTTTAGTAGATACCTATTATAACTACTCGCAAAAATAATAAATTGTTTTACACATAAAAAAAATATCGGGATGAAATATATACCATTGATAGTCTATAGTCTAGCGTACGTACTGATCATGATCATTTCATTGAAAACAAGGTTTATATGAGAGGAGAAAAAATATCAAAATAATATTTTCAAAAGGACATTTGTATTGTTCTATTGTTAGTCGTGCTAAATAATATTACACAACAGTACAAGCTATAAGAAAATGAGTCAAGTTCTTCTGTATTTAACACATATTATGCGAGAAATTACGCCCTAAAAAAAAGTTTACCGAAAACCGTTCTATTTCGAAATCGCTTTTTCACTGAACACTTTTCAGAAAGATCACTTTTAAACTAAACAGTAGAGGAACACTTTTGAATTTACAATAGAATACTTTTGGGAAAAGATCACTTTTGGTAATCGCCGAACTGAAGTACAACAAGTATTCAAAAAAAAACAAAGAATACTTTTTTGAAAGTACAGAGTGGCCCAAAAGTTAGTTTACTGGACTAAAGTGTAACTAAGTATCTGAAGTTTTTGACAATTGTTTCTTAATAGTTTTGATAATTTTTAATTCCATTTTTTACTTTTATTTTAGTTGTTAATAATTGTAACGTGAATAAATAATTATGATGTAATTTTGATGTAAATAAAAATAAAATGTACATAGTAATGTGTGCCTGTCTTGGTAAACTAACTTTCGAGTCACCCTCTATGCTTCAGTTTGTGGCATTTTGAAATCGCTCTAAAATAAAACATGAAAAACGAAAAGCTACGTATCTTCTTTTATAGTGTATGTTAAAAAGTGGAAATTGGATGTTCTTTCGACGCATATTAAACGTATAGAGAAGATGCAGTGTTTTTCTAATCACCTGAAATTAGAAGTCATCTTTTTCTGAACTTCGGTTGTGCGTATAAACTATAGGGACAATTCTTTTTTCGTATAACATTACTGTATACCAATAAATTCTTGAAAAATATATAACTGCACTTCTTGAAGATAATATTATCAGATCATCATTAAATTACGTTCAAAATGTTTAATCGATATGCGATTCATCGTTTTTATCATCAACGCCTGTGAATGCTAATGATGTGACTGCTGTATTATTTTGAGAAGAACTAATTTGATTTGAGGTTCCGTTTGGTGTTTGTTCAAGGGGTGTAACGATATTTGTTTTAGAATATTTTGAGTTCGGGGCCGTTAGTGTAATCGTACTTGGACTTGTATGAAGCTTTTCATAGGGAAGACCAATGCTTTTCATTTCTAAATCCTAAAAACAGAAACAATGATCATTCAATTATTAATTTTAAGCTACTGCTTTTTATGAGTAGAATAATCTGTTAGGAATAAATTTTAAATCCTTGTTTTTACTCATATAATTTATTGTTATTTTGCTATTAATTATCATGTAGAGCGCGGCTGATAATTAAAAGAGAAAAAATGAAAGAAATCGAAATATTCTTTAAAATCCTTCGTTCATAATGTTTTTATACTCTCTTCGAGTCCCGTTACATAGTCTTGTTCTATACTGATCATCGGATTG